ACTGATGCTCGCTATAATGCTTGGCTGAAAGCTAAAGGACTCGACTCCCCTTCACCACATGATGATTAGGAGCAATCCACATATCATCAGCCTTCACACCGAAGCTCTTTTAGTAGGTTTTTGACACTTCCATCCCCACCACAGTCAAACACACAACAGCAGGTATATTCAGACAGAGTAATTACATCAGCTGAAAGTCTCAAATTGCTGCAAGACTAAGAGGAGAACAAACAAGAAAAAGAGAGACAGAAGCAAGAACGGATTCGGCAGAAGGAGATTCGGCAAATAGCAGCTGAACTAAAACGTCAGCAAAAGAAAAAGGTTAACTTGTAAACAAAATTTTTGTATTTTAATAACTTACCTATAGGGTCAAATGCAAGAACAGAGGACACAAGAATTGCACAATACTCGAGAACTAACTACTATTGGACTAAATGGTATGAGAGGTTCACCAAATAATGAAGCACCATGGTGCGTGGACTCGCCTGCTAAGATTCACCTGAGTGATAATGTGTTACTTGCACTGTCCCCATCATGATATTATATATATAAGCAACTTGATATTTGAAAAAAGGATAATAGATTTTGACTAAACTGCAACATTGAATGCAATTATCCATGAAGCACTATTGTGTGATGGACTTGCTTGTGTGAATTGACTGAGTGATATGAGTTACATGTATTTACACTGTTTGTTATTTAACCAATTTTTAAAAAATATTGATTTTGATTGAACTGCATAGTTATCTTACAATACAATAATTTTATTCAAATTCTTGTCCTCCATTTGTCCCTTATACAGTTACAATGAAGATCTCAAGTTGATCAATGTTAATCCTATAAAAATCGATTTTGCCACACTATTATTTTGATTCTTTTTATATTTATGGTTATGTATAGTAATGACTATCATTGATAATTTATGATGCATAACAACTAAGTAGTCTATAATGTGTATGTGTAATGATTGTGATTAATATGAGAGGTGTGGTAGAGAGGTGTGTGGTGATATGAAACATGTAAGTAATTATCATTGTTGCATGGTTGCTATTCAGTCTCTTTCTCTCTTAATCTTTATCCATCCTGGTTGTTCAATAATATACTGGTAGATCCTTGGTGGCTATTGATCATCCCCACTACAGTTATGAAAAATGATAACAATTATTTTAATGATATGTTAAGAAAATAACCCTTATAGTATCCATCTAATGCAGCCTTAATTCTAATTTTATTAATAATAAAGATAAATGGTTTGAAACTGTAGAAGGCCAACAAAGCTGTCATAATATTTGCCTTCCCTAGGCACTTATGTAATTTGGTGATCGGCATTATTTTGTATATACTATATACAATAATACACCAGGCAATATGAAATATGAAAATGTATTTTTTGACAAGCTATGTAAGACTTACTGTGTAGAAACACATACTGTCAAACTCTTCTATTATAGAGACTAAAGGAAAGGGAGAGAAGGAATTTAAGGGTTGCCCCCATTAATTATATTATTGTATTAATCATTTATAGCAACAAACAAAATATGCATTTGCATACAATATCTAAAACTGACTCATGCACAATAATGAATTCACGATTCAAAATTATTTCTAATTGTAATCAACCTACATTGTTGAATTTGCTAATCACTAGAGGTGGGCAATATGGTACTAAATTTTTCAATACCAGGCCTTTCATACCAAGTACTTGATACTAAATACCGTAAATGTTCAAATAAAAGCCCGGGCGTTTATTTCTTTCCAGGAGAAAAAAATTGCGTAAAATAAACAAAAGAAAAAGTAAAACTGAGATTTGAACCCTGACCTCCAGGTTTAAGGCACTCAGCTTAACAAATTAGGCCATTTGGGACACTCTAAAGATTGTGGTACTTATATTGAGTAAAATATGCGTATCTATACTTGGAGATTCTTAGTACCAGGCGTTTATTCAAGCCCGGCCTTTATTTGAACATTTACGGTACTAGAATTGAGTATACTAATGACAATACCCAGCCACACCTAGTTTGATGTATGTACTAGTCATAATGACAGCCACACCTTTCATAATTACAAAAATGGTAGCTCATTTCCTTGATCTATACTATTTTTGCACTTATTATAGTCAATCTTTGACAGTATAGTCAATACTACGCTCATACTACTACATGTATGTATTGGTACTGATTAAGTATTGCCCACCTCTAATAAACATGGGTCTGGGCCCCATTGTAAGGCTGATCTCGCTGGTAATATCAATTTTTGAAAATAAAATGCTGTTCTTTCATAATATCAAATTAAGAAAACAAAATGGGACGATTTGTCCCTCCAAAAATTAATTACAGCTATTACGGTAGGAATTTAAATAAGAATGTATTATTATTTCCTTATAAAGTAGATAAACAGTGCCATATCATCGTGGGGCGTACCACAATCAAAACTTTAAAATGTGTCTACATGTCTACAAGGTTTTTTAAGTTATACTTAAATATGTTCCATACCTAAATATTTATATCTTCATGACCAGCTGAAGGAGAATTAGCTAGTAATGTAGATATGGTTAAAATGGCCCTAGCTCACCTATTTTCCTTACAGAAGGTGTATAAAAGAATTACTTTAATTTAAATCATTTATTAAATAAAATTTGTCTTTCATATTGCATATATATACACTAATGTATAAAAAGGATCAAGTGTGCTCCTGAGGAATAACAGCTAGCTTATATAGATCTACCACAGCAGATGGCATGCATGCAAGCTGCACTGCTGCTCCCAGCTAGCTACACCCAACTTGGAGGTGTGGCATGACATCATTATTATTGATAGCATGCAGCAAGCCCTTTTCTCTTCTTCTAAGCTCTATATGACATTATAATGGCACAAATACTGTTGCCTAGATGTAAAATTAGTCTATAGTTTACTCTGGTTCAAATTTAGAAGCTAGATTCTACATCTATAACTCACCAACAAGAAAGATTTAAAGAATCCCACACACAGAGATCTATTAGAGCAATAACAAGTCTTAATCTACTGTTAAAAGAGCCTTAGAGTACTACCTCTATTCCTGGGCATTTTCTTGTGAATTAAATAGCTTCTACCTAGAGCTACTAACATCTCAAGGGAGTGAAAAAAGAACTAACAGAAGAGGAGGCCTCTTCAAAAGCACACACAATAAAAGACACTCCTTGGAGACTGAAAATAGCTGCAATTTACTACCTACCGTAATCACTGTCCTCCGTAGCTAAATTCCACTTCTAATCTAAAAGCGTAATCACTGTCCTCCGTAGCTAAATTCCACTTCTAATCTAAAAGAAAAAGAAAGAGAAAAATGTAACTGGATTTAAGTCATCAATATATTCTACTCTTGTATCAATAATACGTACATTACATGCATATTACTAGCTGTGTGTAAATGATAATTGTACATGTATGTACATTTGCCAGGGAGTGGGTTTATGGTTCTGAGCTGGTTTGGAGCAACTTAATAAAATTAAAAAAAAACTGAAATTGATCAAAATTAATTCAAAATTTCTACATGTAATTTCAGGAAAAAATATAATAATATAATTTTTTTCTATTTATTTTGGTAAATTTTGGCCTGAGACCATGTACATAAACATTGGCTTAATTTTTTGAGCAAATTGAAAATCTGTAAAAAAGTTTTACTTAACCTGAATTAGCTTAAACTTTCTACACAACATCGAATCATCTCTTCAGCCGTTTTTGACAAAGAGAAATTAATTAAAATTACAGTCGCCATGCAAATGTGTACTCTCCTAATTAAATTATTGCTTTTTCTCAAAATTACTACAAAATTTGGACCACAAAAATTATACACATATGTGTGCATGTATAATATACTTACAAGAGCTAGAAATAGTGAAACATCATCAGACTTCTTTTAAGTCATCTTGTCCCTCCTTTGAAACGCTTACTGCCTCTTCTTTAACTGAGCGGTTCCTGTGGTTTGGGTATAACTTGTTGATAGTGGGTGGGGCAGGATCACTAGCAACATTTGCAGTTTCATTGATACCGAATGATGTAAGGGGTGTGGCCACACTACTTATCTATGCTATAAAAAGGATGAATAGAGAGGGAGAAAGAGAGAGAAAGAGAGAGAGAGAGAGAGAGAGAGAGAGAGACAGAGGGAGAGAGAGACAGAGAGACAGAGACAGAGAGAGACAGAGACAGAAAGACAGAGAGAGAGAGA